ACTTGAGCTGCGTCGTGCATGCGTGCGAAATGATATCGCTGCTCCTCGCGAAGCAGAGCCGGTGGTTTCCCACAGCGACCGCCGAGAAGCAAGCCAAGTGCTTGGATCTCCTCGTCGTCTTTGCAGTTCAGTGGGCGTTCGGCGCCAACTTGCACGAAGACGATGCGCCGGCCTTCAACGACCAGCTGCTGGGCATCCTCAGCCAACATCCAAGTCAGTTTCACGACAGCCTCCTTCACGTGCGTCGTGTCTCTTGTTCGAGACTCGATGACGATCTGGAACATCGTAGGTGGTCGGCAAGAGCAGTGGTGGGCCCATGAGCTGCAACGGCACCGGCGCTCTGCGCACAGCGGCCGTGCTCTCGGAGTTTTGTATCGACTTTGCGGACCTTGGGTGGAGCCATTGGGAGAACCACGTGCCGTCCTTCAAGTACGCGATGCACGCGCCGATTTTCAACCTGCTCGTGCCGACAGTCGACGTCACCAAGACGTCCTACCTCCTCTCGCTCCTGGTTCGTTGGCTTTTGTTTTGAAATTGCAGCCTCAATTTTGTGTAGATTGGCGGTATGAAGCCTATGCTACTGGCAGGCGAGACGGGCGGTGGTAAGACCCTCATTGCACACGCCGTCATCGACGCCCTCGCCACGCATGGCGACGACGCGGGCATCGGCGTCGTCCCCCTCTACATGCACTTTTCGGCGCAGACGTCGAGCGCTGTGACCCAAGCCACGATCGAAGCCAAGCTCGTCAAGAAGCGCAAAACGCTTCTCGGTGCGCCCGTCGGTCACAAGATCGTGCTCTTTGTCGACGACATCAACCTTCCAGCGGCGGACGCGCACGGGTCGCAGCCGTGCCTCGAACTTCTTCGCCAGCTCCTGACGCACAACGGCGTTTACGACCGCGACAAGTACTTTTGGAAGGAGATTGCCGACACGGTGCTCGTCGCCGCCGGTGGCCCACCCGGTACGATCCCAATGCTCGTCGCCTGCGAACGGTGTATGTTTGCGTAGGCGGTGGACGTCACAGCATGTCGCCGCGGCTGCTGCGGCACTTTACGATCGTGGCGCTACCCGTGGGGCGCGACGCTGCGATGCGAACGATTTTCCACTCGATTGTGCTGGGACACGCAACGTCTCTCGCGTTTCCTCCGCCGCTGCGGGACACCGTGCTCCAGACCGTCGACGCGACTCTCAGGCTGTACGCGTCGGTAACGGAGGCGCTGCGGCCGACGCCAGCCAAGTGCCACTACGTGTTCAACCTCCGCGACGTGGCCAAGGTGTTTGCCGGCATCCTCCACACGCGGTCGGCGTGGACGACTGAGAGTATCGTCAAGCTCTGGCTGCACGAAAGCTTGCGGGTCTTCTACGACCGGCTCGTGAACGTCACGGACCGGCACTGGCTGACGACGACGCTCATTTCGCTCCTCAACAAGTGCTTTCGCGTCAATTGGACCCACGACCAAATCTTTGGCTCGGACGATGTGATTCCCGTGCTCTTTGGCTGCTACGGGTCGGGTGCAATCAAGGGCTACGAAGAGATCACCGACATGAGCTCCCTCGAAGCCCTCTTGTCGTCGTACGTGGCCGATTACAACACATTTCGGACGCCAACCTTGCAGCTCGTCTTCTTCCGCGACACGATTCTCCACGTCTCGTTCCTCGCGCGCGTCCTCCTCCAGCCGCGCGGCCACGCGATGCTCGTTGGCGTCGGCGGTTCTGGAAAACGCTCGCTTGCGCGTCTCGCAGCCTCCATGATGGACATGGCCTGTGTCGAGATCGCAATGGGCCGGTCGTACGGTCGCAGCGAGTTTCGGGACGACCTCAAGAAGCTCTTGGTCGCGGCCGGCGCGAAAGGCAAAGAGACGGTTCTCCTCTTGCACGAGTCGCACCTGCAGTGCGACGAGTTTGTCGAGGACGTCAACTCGCTCTTGAATGCTGGCGAAATTCCACACTTGTTCACGCACGAAGAAGCCGACGCGATCCAAGCCGACATGAAGTCGGCGGTCGCGGACGCCGGCCTGGAAGATACTCGGGCCAACGCCGAGAGCCTCTTTCTGCAGCGCGTCCGGAGCCTTCTGCACGTTGTCGTGTGCTTCTCGCCCGTCGGCCACGGGCTCCGCCTCCGGTGCCGGCAGTTTCCGTCGCTTCTCAACTGCACAACCATCGACTGGTACGATGCGTGGCCGGCGTCTGCCCTCGTGGTTGTCGCCGAGAGCTACCTTGGCGACGTGGAGCTCGCATCCGAGGCGGCGCGGACCGGCCTCGTCGCGATGTTTGCGCACGTGCACGAGACGCTTAAGGAGGCCGCCGCGCAGTTTCTCGCAACATGTCAGCGCCACGTGTACATCACTCCCAAGGCGTACCTCGACGCGATCCGCCTCTACCTGCGCATGCTCGCGGAGAAGCGGTGGCAGGCCAAAGAGGCCTATGACCGTCTCTCGGCCGGCGTCGTCAAGCTCGAAGACACGAACGAGCTTGTTGCGCGCCTCCAAGTCGAGCTCACAAATCTCCAGCCCATTCTCGCCGCCAAGGCCCTCGAAGCTGAGGCGCTTCTGAAGCAAGTCGCGATTGACCAGGCGGAGGCCGCCATCGTCGAGCAACGGGTACTGTTTCGTCCGCAACGAAACGTGACGCAAATGTACATATCTAGGTGAGCCACGACGAGTCGATAGTCAAAGCGCAAGCCGCCGACGTCGCCGAGTGCCAAGCCGACGCTCTGCGGGATCTCGAGACCGCGATGCCAGCACTCAACGCTGCTGTCCAGGCGCTCGACTCGCTCGACAAGAAGGACATTACCGAAGTCAAGAGCTTCACCAAGCCACCGCAAGCAGTCCAGGTACGTTCTGCTTTCTGCACCAGAGACTGGAGAAGCATTTTAGGTCGTCATGGAGGCCGTGTGCATCATGCTGGGCGAGAAACCGGATTGGGACACGAGCAAGCGTGTGCTCTCCAAGCCGTCGTTCATGGCCGAGCTCAAGGACTTTGAGAAGGACAACATTCCGCCCAAGACGCTCCTCCGCCTCAAAAAGTACATTGAGAACCCCGAGTTTGCGGTCGACGAGGTCAAGAAAGTGTCGCGCGCCGCCATGTCGCTCTGCATGTGGATCCACGCCATGGACATGTACGCGCGCGTGAGCAAGGACGTCGCGCCCAAGAAGGAGCGGCTTGCCGTCATGAACGCGACGCTGGCCGACGCCAACGCCAAACTCAACGCCAAGCAGACCGAGCTTGCTCAGGTACCTTTCACCTTGTAAAAAATATAGTCCTCCGAAGCAATCTAGGTCATGGCGCGCGTGCGTGGCCTCCAGGCGCAGTGCGACGGCGTCGTCGCCGAGAAGAAGCGCCTCGCGGACGAAGCTGAGCTGACTCGCGCACGCCTCTCCCGGGCCGAGAAGCTCACGGTCGGGCTTGCCGACGAGCTCGTGCGCTGGAAAGCTAGTCTCGAGGTACATACGATGTGAAATGATTAGATACGAGGTCCAATGAAGCGTGCAGGTCATGGCCGCCGACAAAGTGAATTTGGTCGGCGACGTCTTCTTGTCGGCAGCGTGCATTGCGTACTTGGGGCCGTTCGACGGCACGTTTCGGCTCAGCCTTCAGCGTCTCTGGCACGACGCGATGGCTGGCGCGCAGCTTCCGACAAGTGCACTCACGTCGCTCCTCGCTACGTGCTCGGACCCGTCGCAGTTGCGCGAGTGGCAACTCAACGGTCTCCCCACGGATGTGACTTCGGGCGAGAATGCAGTCATGGTCTTCCGCAGCGAGCGCTGGCCGCTATTGATTGACCCGCAGCAGCAGGCGCGGCAGTGGCTCTTCAAGACGGAGGGTGCGTTCGGTCTCCATGTCATCAAGCTGCACGATAAGGGCCTTCTGAGCGCCGTCGAGGACTGTGTTCGGGACGGAAGTCCGCTTTTGCTGGACGACGTGGGCGAGACGCTGGACGCGGCGCTCGACCCACTGCTCTTGAAAGCGCTGACCAAGCACAGCGGTATCTCATGCTCTCTCCTATTGTGCTGACCCTGCATAGGCAAGTACGTGCTGCGGGTAAACGACCACGACGTCGTGTACGACCGCAACTTTCGTCTCTACCTCTTGACCAAGCTGCCAAATCCGCACTTTTTGCCTGACGTGTGCATCAAAGTGAACGTGATCAACTTTACCGTGACGAAAGAAGGTTGATGGGCATCGAGGAAATACTTAGATGGTTGCAGGGCTCCAGGATCAGCTGCTCGGAGACGTGGTGCGGAAGGAGCAGCCCGAGATTGAAGCCAAGATGAATGCGCTCCTGGCTTCGATTGCGACCGATCAAAAGCTCTTGAAAGCCATCGAGTCGAAGATTCTGAGTCTCCTCTCGACGTCGCAGGGCAACATCCTCGACGACCAGGTACGTACATATGCAAGGCTTTTTAACATCAAGTTATCTGCGAGTAGGTTCTAATTACCACCCTCGGCGAGTCCAAGAAGACCGCTACCGTCGTCTCGGAGCGTCTTGCCGAGTCCGAAGTCACGCGCGCCGCGATTGCCGACGTTCGCAACCAGTACATCTCGGTCGCGGTCCGAGGCTCGTTGCTCTACTTTGTCTTGGCCGACTTGGCGACCATGGACCCCATGTACCAGTACTCGCTCGCGTACTTTAAGCGCCTCTTCAACCAAAGCATGGACGAAAGTCCCAAAAGCTCGACGCAGGAGCTGCGGCTTGCGGCGCTCGTCGACGGGCAGACGCGAACTGTCTTTGCCAACGTGTCAAGGGGGCTGTTTCAGGACCACAAGCTGCTCTTCTCGCTTCTCATGGCGCTGCGCATCCTCAGTGATGCTGGCCAGATCACGCCGGCGGAACTCCCGCTACTCTACCGCCCACGGCCTACAGTGTCCGCTACAGAGCCAACGCCGTTGCCACTCAAGGCCTACGAAGCGCTGCTGGCACTGAGCAGCGCTCTTCCTCTCTTTGCAGCACTTACGGTGGGTGCACCGCCGTCATGGGCAGATGCTAAAGCTGCGTCGTAGGACTCGGTGGCTGCGGCATCGGGCGCGTGGCAATCGTGGCTCTCGAGCGAGGACCCGTATACCAGCACGCTCCCCGAGGGCTTTGAGAGCCTTTTGTCTCCGTTCCTCAAGCTCGTGCTTTCGAGCGCGTTGCGACCGGAGAAAGGCGTGCAAAGTGCGCGTGGCTTCGTATCTGCGACCTTGGGGTACGCTCGCTCTCGTCACGTCGCGGTGTTCAGAGCAGCCCCATAGGTCCACGTTTACGACGCCACAGGCCTTTGCCATGACAGACGTGTTCCCGGCGCTCGACAAGAACGTTCCGTGTGTATTTATCTTGTCGTCGGGGGCCGACCCAACCGCCATTTTGCACCGTTTTGCGGCCGACCTTGGGCTCGACGACCGCCTGCACGTCGTGTCGCTTGGGTATGTGGCGTCGTTTGATGGTTGTCGGATCCACGGGTGTACGTGTAGGCAAGGCCAAGGCCCGCTGGCGACGGCACTCATCCAGCGGTGCGCTGCGTCGGGGGACTGGGCGCTCATCCAAAACTGCCACCTCGCCAAGTCGTGGATGCCGACGCTCGAGAAGCTTCTTTTGCAGCTGCGCGCTGACGCTGGCGACGTCCATGACGACTTTCGTCTCTTCTTGACGTCGTTTCCGGCGCCGTACTTTCCCGTGTCGATCCTCCAGTCGTCGGTCAAAGTGACCAACGAACCGCCACGAGGACTAAAGCCCAACCTTCGGCGGTCGTTTGACATGCTCATCTCGGACGACTTGCTCCGCTCCATGTCGTCCACGGAGCGCCACTTGGTCTTCGGTCTCGCCTTCTTTCACGCTGTCGTGCAGGAGCGAGCAAAGTTTGGGCCCATGGGCTGGAGCACGCGCTATCAGTTCAACGACTCGGACTTGGAGACGTCGATTGCGCTTCTCCGGGCGCTCGTCAGCGATGGAAGGAAAGCACCCGAGGCGCTGCCGTGGGACGCGCTGCAGTGCGTGACCGGCGACATCATCTACGGTGGCCGCATCACGGACGAGTTGGACCGGCGCTGTCTTCTTGCGACGCTTCGGAGGTTTCTTTGCGTCTCGACATTCACGCAGCCCTTCACGGACGACGCGCCTCGGTACGCGACGCCGACGGCCTCGTCCGTCGCCGAGTTTCAGGCGTTCATCGAGGGCCTTCCGAGTCACGACCCTCCGGCGATTTTTGGGTTGCATCCAAACGCTACCGTCGTGGTTGAGACGCAAGCGACGCAGGCACTGCTGGGCATGGTCTTGCAGCTGCAAGCGCACGGATCTGCCGATGCCAGTGGCGCCAACTCGGACGACGACGACGCTACCGTGCTCGCATCGGTGGCGCAGATACAGGCGACGCTTCCGCCGCTTCTGGACATCACCACGGCAGTTGCAGGACTGTTTGATGAGCACGATGGCCAGCTCGACTCACTTGCGACGGTGCTTGGCCAAGAAATCATCAAGTTCAACCGGTTGCTGCAAACGATTTCAAACTCTGTATCCATGGTCCAGCTCGCTGTGCTCGGTCTTGCAGCTCTCTCGGCGGCGTCGGACGCGGCATACAAAAGTCTTCTCTTGCGGCAGGTGCCCCACGAGTGGGCCAAAGTCGGCTTCGCGTCGCTAAAGCCCGTGGGTGCGTACTTGGACGACCTCAACAGCCGCGTGCGCTTCATGGCCGACTGGCTTCGACTCGGAAATCCATCAACGTTTCCTCTGCCCGTCTTCTTCTTTCCGCAAGGCTTCCTCACCGGTGTGCTCCAGAACCACGCTCGAAGGCATGCACTCCCCATCAACCTCCTCGAGTTTGCCTTTGCCGTCCTCCGCGACGACGACGAGGATGACGCAATGGCCGCCGACGGTGTCATTGTCACGGGTACGTCGCTGGGTGATTGGAATCAAACCCAACAAGCGTGGACTAGGGTTGTACATGGAGGGCGGGCGGTGGGTGGATGGGCGCCTCACCGACGCAGCGCCGGGCGAGCTCTACGCGGTGATGCCACGCATTCGATTTGTGCCGCAGCTGTCACCAACAGAAGCGCCACAAGGGTACGCGTGCCCGGTGTACAAGACATCGGCTCGCCGGGGCACACTGTCAACGACGGGAATTTCAACCAACTTTGTCGTGAGTGTGCTCCTGCCGTGCAAGCTGGACCCGGGGCACTGGGTGCTGCATGGCACCGCGCTTCTGTGCAATTTAGACAGCTAGTTGCTGATAAACGATGTAAGGAGTGCATAGTAAATCGTGGGTCGCTGGACGTAAAACTTCGACGGATCAGACAACGAATTGTGGGTGTTTCGCGCAGCTGGTCCGACGCAGTGCTCGGCACCGCCGCAACGCAGCGCACGGCCGTTGTTTTGTAGAGACGAATCGCCAAGATTGCGGTTGCATGTCCTTCGATTAGTGTATTCTCGATCGACGTCGTTGGCGATCACATGACCATTTGAACACCGCCGGCGATGGAAGAACGCCATCTAATAGTAGCCACCCGCGACAGTACTCGGCGCCGTGGACTTCGATCCTCCCACCGGCTTCTTCTCAGGCCTGGGTTCTCGACACGTATGTGGGCCGGGTATATCCTGCATACGCACAACCGGCGTCCGTCGACACTGTCGCTGTATCCGGGATCGCACCCAATACCTCGTTGAAGTCGCGGCTAGCGGGTTTCGTGCAGAGGGAGCGAAAGAATTGAGCCAAAGACACGGCTGGCTGTCCTCGCGGTGTCCACTCCTGGCACGTGGCGCCACCACCTGGTGATGCCTAACCTTCTCACAAAAGCGCTCAAACGACGCAGACCAGTTGGGACGAACCAGGTTTTTCGGTGCCGAGACAGCCCGTTGTCGGTTCTACGCCCATGACCTCCGTCCGCCATGTCAAACTGGATGCAATCGTTCATGTTTGTGGGCTGTAGTATTAAATAACGGGGAATTGTACACGGAAGCGACTCGGAAACTACGGCTAAATGGCAGAGGTCGGCTTCTTGCGGAACTCGCGCGTAATGCCGAGGGAGAAGCAGTCGCGCTGGACGAGTTGGTGCGGCGGAATAAAGGCCTCCGTCCGTCGCGGCGCCGGTCGCGCACCGGCGTCCGACTCGGTCGGCGCCAGCTCGAGGCCAAACACGTCATCGTCGGCCGCGTCAAAGAGAAAATCGTCGTCGTCGTCATCGTCTGTCGTCCAGCTCGGCGACGAGGCGGCAAAGTGCGAAGGATGCTCCCAAGAGAAGCCGCTGTCGCAGGACCCGCTGCGGCTTTTGCTGTTGGTGGACGTCGGGATCATGATGGGAGCGCTCTTCTTGCGCTCGAGGGCCGATGCGTCCGGAGCCCGACTGCTCGTCGATGAGTTGCGGCCGACGTGCAGCTTGCCGAGGTACTTTGTGCGCCACTCGGCCGACCCGCTGAGCGTGAACGCAGGGTCGTCGGCCATCGCCTTCATCGCGCCAAGGTGCTTGTGCAGCGACCGCTTGGCTGGTGGATGCATCATCATGGTGTTCTCCTGCGTACGAACGTGCAAATTGCAAACTAAGAAATCACGTGCGATGGGGCACTTCAACGGCTTTGTGTCAGATGGCCAAATCATCCCACGCCACCTCGAAGTTCGCAGTGGTGGAGCAGATTCGGCAACGTGACGAAGGTGGGTGGTCATGACGCTGCTACCGAGGTAGAGACACTGCCGCCTCGAGCTATCGCGCGATGCCATAAGCTCCAGCCAATTGAAGGAACAGGCGCGCGCGTTGCAGTCGCTGGTGGCTGGATGGTCACACGCTGCTGCTTCGTCCCAGGTGCCAATCGAGACGACATTGAGGCCAAGGCAGGGCGACGGGGCGCCACTGACATCACCGCAACATCCCATTGGTCGGCTGGATGAAGTAAAAGTTGCAGCACCTGCTCCGTCACAGGTGGCAGGTGATATTGGTAGCCCTTGCGGCGTCCGTGGACCATGCCAACGACGCCTGACGCCAGCAAAATGCATGGTCATGGACCCAAGTTGGCGAAAAGACACTGAAGGAAGGGCGCGCCGCGGACTCTAGTTGAGCACGCGTCATCACCAGCTGCTGCCCCGTCCCTCGAGGGCTGCTGCGTCAAATATTAATTTGTCGCGAGAATGCGATGTTGCAAGCGTCCACGCGGACGTGCGTCCACGTCTGGGACAAGCGCCTGTGAGAAGGGAAATGCGGCCACACGATAGGCCCTGTACTTTGTGGGCGACGGACCCTTCGCATGGACTTGTTATGAAGGAAATTCATGTAGGTCGGGACGAATTGCTCTCTCCAGCTCTCACGTATGTGGGCAGATTCGTCCGTGGGACAGAGGTGCCCGACCAGCAATTGGCGCCAGAAACGTTGCACCATCACCAGGAACCAGGGCCGAGATGATTCGCATTGGAGACGAATGGTCCAATTCAGAGAAGGTGGGCGTCATGGTAGGAAGTACGGTTTTCTAGTCCGAGCACAGTTCTATGGTCTGGATTGCTTCGAGTAGTACCGAGCCGTAATATATATATTACGTTTTCGATGTGGCGCCAAAAGCCATTTTTGGCGTCTGCTTCGTCATCATCGAGATGTTGGTACGAGTACGACGGGTCGCGTTCATGGGTTTGCGTTGGAGATGCTCTGCCTGTCGAAGTACAGTAGTACACAGTGCTACAATCGCGCTCAGTGACTCGCTTTTAAGGACTACGCTATATTGTAGAAGAAGTGTAAGACGTCCCACCTCATTGCAAGCTCTATAGGTAATAGTTAGAGAGATAAAGACATGTAGGGGTTTGAACCTTATCTTGCGTTTGGAGTAGGGTTCCTCCGGTATATATGAAAGTGTTTCGCGTTATTGCAAAACCTAACGTACGCGAATCCTCCGGTTCCAGAACGAAACGTGGTAGAAACGTGGAGCTCACAGACATCACGACCATGAAACAGGTCCCTTACCCTTTGCAGGGTGGGCTGGTAGGAACGAACGCGTATCGCGTAATTGTAGCATGACCGCTTGGACAGCATTATGTGAACACCAAGAAGGAGGGCGCAGACTGCAACATGAAGACGGCACGGAGATTAAGAAAGTGATCACGACCATAAAATAGTTCCATTGATGCGGTACAATAGCCTCTGATGATAACGGACCCAGTGGCTCGTTGCAAGCCTTTACTGTACAACAGGCTATATTCATGGCAGCGGTTCACTCTAGACATCTTGCAAGTCATGCATTCGGCTTCCGGTCATACCTCTGTAGTCATTCCTCTGGAGGCCGCTGTCCGGAGTCTCATACCAATCAATACTTCCTGCACATGCTTGTGCGTTTTCGTTTTCTCGTCTACTGGTTCACTGATTGTATGCAGGGGAATGACAACCATGGATTGTACTAGTATGCATACATCATAGTTCATGGGCACAGTAACGTTATAGGAAGTAGACCCGCGTTTGCGATAGCTGTCAAGTTGATTGATGTCGAACGACTAGTACTGCATGCTGTTTTGGCCCTGCTGTGGCTCAAAACTGCATCTCATTTCCCTTGAAAGACCCACGTGGCAGAATTCAGTGCGATCAAGCAGCTTGAAGCATGAATCTCAGACAATCGGATTACTCTGTCCGCATGTTCATCGTTGCCACATGCAACGTACCGTGGACAAGACGGGGGCTCCATCACGGCCGTCCTGATTGTGTGTGTATAATTTGCACTCGTGCCGAGCTTGAAGAGTGAGCAAAATCACTTTCTGAGGTGCCGTCCATACACACGTCCATGCAATTGTCAACGCGGACGCTGGGCAAGATTGCTGTCAACGTCCCATGCATCACACGACGTTTGGTACAGTCACGAAAGCCGCATGAGGCATTCCGTGTTCCGTACCCATACACCATGCTACGTATGCATATGCTAGTAGACACTGACCAAGACCATCGGCCAGTAGAGCCATCATCGGCTGCCGTGCATGCTTCAGCTGCAATTGCTCTGCATGGAGCCACTTGCAAGACGCGTACCGGCCATCAACCTTGCGCATCGGCGGCATGCTCATCGCGGACGACGCGAGGCGTGGCTGGCTGCTGCTGGGTTGAAGCCATGACTGCGACGGATTGTGGTCGGCCGTCTTGCCGCAGAATTCGATTTTCACACCGCCTGCAGTGTATTATTTGCACAACGCTCGCTCATTGATACAAATGTCGAGTCTATTCTCTATCCGAGCGAATTAAAATGCATGTTGCGCTGGACGATCGCAATTTTTTCATGTTGAAAAAATACTCTCAACACGATCTGGAAGTTTGTATAGGCATCTCTGGCACTGTATTTTATTTTAAACCAGATGGCTAAATAAGCCAATCAGCGACGAGATGCTGCCAGGCCATTGGCCGAACCTTTGTCGCCAGCAGGCCGAGTAGCCCGGCCATCCTTGCCCGCGACTGACGCATTCTGCGATTTCCTCACCCGCAACCGTATCCTCCGCACCATGTTTGGCCTCAAGAAGCTCGCTTGCATCGCTGTCGCTGCCCTCGCTGCCATGGCCTCGGCCTCGTCGCCTGTCAACACCACGGCGCCGGCTGTCAACGGCACGAGCGTCGTGCCCCCGGCGTCGCAGTACACCCTCACGCTCTTTGGCAAGCTTCTTGGCGACCTCAACATCGAACACGTCGAGGGCCAGCCGCTCACGGACGAGGAGTACAACAAGGCCGTTGATGACCTCGAGGAACTCTTCTTGAACAAGGTCCCCAAGTCGAAGCTCAAGGAATACAAGGCTGAGCTGACTGCTCTTCTTGCCCGCATCTCGGTCGCGGAGCTCGAGCAGCTCTTCTCGGACGTCTCGTTCGAGCTGACGAAGTACGTTCTCGAGGACAGCTCGGCCAACACGACGGCTACCGCCAACGTCACGGTGCCCGCTAACACGACGACGAAGGCGCCGGTGATTGTCAAGGCCGCCGAGTCGACGAACGACAAGTTCCTTGGCCTCGACAACAAGCAGATCATTGTCTCTGGTGGAGCCATCGGTGGCTTCATGGTTGTCGTCGCAGTTGCGCTTGCTGTCTCGGCCTCGCGCGAGAAGAAGGCCGCGCCTGCCCAGTCCGTCCTCGCTGACAACGTCATTGACGAGATCGAAGCCGCCGAGAAGGCTTCGCCCGCCGCCAAGGACGCCGATGTTGAGGACATGACGAGCGAGTCGCCCAGCGTCGTCAGTGTCTAAGTGGACTCTCCGTTTTTGGTTGACGCGTAATGCGATTGATTTTTATGCGAGTCTTACCCGAGCACGAGCACCCTGTGCAAGGCAGTAGACCATCCATCGCAGGGCGTGCGTCGTGCAGGCCGCAGCAGCTGGCTGCAATCCGACGACAGGGGGATGCGCGATCCACCGAATTCTAATTTTCACGTGCGACCAAATAGACACACCACGTGTTTTATGTGGCAAGATACATGAGGGCGAGGCTGACTTGGCAGGCAGATAATCCAAGAAGGTGCAAATGCTACGTGTGATCTGCACGCCACTTTCGAGGGTGTATACTATACACATTCGGAAAGCTCGACTATACACTGTACTAGTATACCGGTAGTCGAGCTCGAGGTCGTGCACATACCGATACTCTTCCACGGGTTCCAGCGGCGTCTGTAGGCCAAGATAACTTGTCCTCGCAGGCTATTCTGCGATCCTGACTACACCGGAAAACTTTCAGAGCTGTTCATGGCCCCCTGTTCTGCATCCACGGCGACGGCCAGGGGAAAGGAAGGCTCCAGTAGCTCCAGTGAGCTTTGATGCAGCTGCGTGTTGTGTTTCCCACTGTGTGATACACGTGAAAAAGGTGGCCGGGTGCAGCTGCGGAAGTGTCATTTCCAAAGTCCGATGGCTCTGCTGAAGCTGGTTGCGCTCGTCGCGTACGCGGCCATGGCCGTGCTTGGTCAGGACCACCACATGCGCGCTGCTAGCTCAAGTGAAGAGTCCGCAACGCCGGTCCCGACGCGTCCGACCTTCGGCCTCGAGCTCTTCGACAAGCTCGTGCAGTCGCTTCATATCGTGCGCATTCCCAATCAGCCGCTGAACTCGACCGAGTTCAACCGCACCGTCCTCGTCGTGGAAGACTTTGTCCGCAACCGCACGCAGCTTGCGGCGCTCAACGAGACTCTCGTGCGCTCGTACCTCGGTCGCCTCAACACGACCGAGATGATCTCGCTCTTCGAAGTCGTGTCCAAGGACCTCACGATGAACGTGACGGGCAACATTTTTTACTACAAGGGAAACGCGTCGTCGAGTGACGACACGATTGTCGCGCTGGCAAAGGCGCCGACTGCAGCCGATGCGTCATCGGCGCTCACTGTCGGGTTTGCGTACGTCGGTCTCGTCGCGGTGATTGCCGCTATCGTTATGGGCGTCAGTATCGCCAAAGACCACACGGCGCGGGCCACGCTTGATGAAAAGGCCGACGACGAAGAAGTGAGCGAAGCAGCAGAAAAGGTGGACGACGTCCCCAGCACCAAGGACGCGCTCGACCCTGTCATCGTCTAATGGCGTATGAGTCTTCTGGCAAATGTATTTCGTTTTTGCGAACCCAGCTAGGCGCATTGACTGTTTGTTAGCTAGCGGGCCATCATCCGCCGGACAATTTGATCTGCATCCAGTGTTCCGAGCCAATGCCGCCTCGCTCAATACGCAGTTGGGGCAACGGTGTGGCAGAGTGGCGACATACATCGGACGTTTGGAGCTTATAAGTGCAGCTATAAGTGCCATGAAGTTTAGCGTTGGTTACCATCGCGTACCTTTATTAAGTCGCCGCTGAAATTCCTTTCAACGTGATATTGCTCCCTTCCGGTCTTGCATCGGTGTGGTCATAGATAGAGTATTCTCACACCACCACCGTGTTTCGATAGATGGGCGCAGACAGGGCGCAGACTTGTTTTCTATGCTGCTGCTGTGGCGAAGTATCCAACTGCCGCATTCTTACAGCCCAATACACTGCAAAACCACTAGAACGACATGGGCTGCTTGCTGCATACTAGTAGACCCTTGAGACGTCTGACTGCGCAAGCGAACACCTAGCATACTCATATAGTCACTACCCATGGTCACTACCGGTACAGTAGCGTGGCGTCTGAGTTGGGCTCAGACGATGGACGGTGACTACTGGTATCCTTTCGAACGAACTGCCTTTCCGCGAAACCAGGATGAGGGCATGATTGCTCTTTTGGGATTTAAAATGCTTTCAGCTGCAATTCGTCAGCAGCTGAGAGCATTTTAACCTTATACGACTCATCAAACCAGCAGCGGAGTCTCCATTTCCATTGAAATCGCAATTCACGAAATGCCTGATGCGTGCACGAAGCACCTCTCTTCGCCACGGGGCCGCATCACAAACGGAATATTCATACAAAGCAAGGCTTTAAACAATATGTTATTTTCGGGCTTCGGTCCGAAAATGGCTTCTATCCGGACCTCGATGCCCTAGAATGGTCACCATATGCTGCACGCTTCTAGTAGTTCGGAGCGTCTCCCATACACCGAGAGGACGAATGCTTCGCAAGCTGGCCCTCATCTCTGCTGTCATGGCGGTCCTCGCGCCGCCAGCCTTGGCCGTCGGGTGCTTGGAAGACTTGTACATCTGCCCCAATGGCCAGGGCGTTGGGCGTGACCCTGCCAACAACTGCAAGTTCTTTCCATGCCGAGACGCCGAGGCCCGCCCGCATACCCCTGCCCCCGTCATCGCGCCGACTGCAACACCCGTGCCCGTTGCGGCGCCACTGCCAAGTGCTGTCGGTACCTCTGCAGCGCCGACGTCAGCTCCCAGCAACATGACAGTGCACAAGGGCATTCGCGCAGGTGTCGATCACGGTTCCAACTGGACCGCCATCGACGCGTCGATGCCGCACGCGCTATCGCAGCTGCTGAATGCGTCCTTCGACAATTACCACAATGCCTGTGCCCCGCTCAACGTCACGGTGACGGCAGCAGAGAAGGCGCCTGCCAACGACTCCACAGCGCTTTACCACTTGGCGATGGACGTCAATTGCTCCGGCACAGATCACGTCTTCGTACTCGAAGTGACGCAAGATGCCGAGGGCCTCTACTTGAGCCAGTGCGGTCACCGCGAGAATGGTACGACGCGCAACTGGCTGACGATCGAGAATCAAGTGACCAAGTGCCAGACGCCGGCCCAGCGCTCGACCTTCTTGAACCAGCCCTTCAACCACGTGACGCACGACGCCGCCGAGACGTCGCTCATGCAAAACATGCAGGCATTCCTCAAGGCGCCCAACGTTCCCGTGCTTGGTGCCGCAGTCATCGCTGTTATTGCGGTGCTTGCGTTCGCTGTGTTTGTCGTCCACCGAACCCGCCGTCGCGAAACCAATGACCGATCTGTTCTTGCAGAGGTCGAAGAAGCTCATGAAGAGCACAAGCGCAAGGCTGCTGCTGACGAAGACGCGCCAGCGCCGACGACAAACCCGCTTGAAAGCACGACTGCTGCGCCTCGCAAAGCCAGCGACGACCTCGAAGACGGCGTCCTGTCGTCCGTAAAGCTCTGAACATTGCTCGGCGTTTGTGGACTTCTATTGCACCTCGTACGAACATTCAAAGTTTTGAAAGGAAGCAGATCCTGGCGCTGCTGGACGGATGCAATGCTGGCGCGAGGGCAGAGACAGTGTGCTGCCAAGACGTGACTCACGCATCTTGGTCAGTTGCGCCTTTGATGAGCTAAATGCACGCAATTCGAGTCCCAAATGACTGCTCCATGCCGTGCCTGGTGTGTAAGTAGCAAGAGAATCTTAGTAAGTAGCGTGATAGAGCAGTTAACCTTAGATCTTCATGTTTCATGATTCCATCCATATTCAAGCTCTTGATGGGATGTATAGTCCGCTGCTACAAGAGCTATCATCGGTGGGCAGCACGTACACTGTAGGTTGCTGGGTGTTTTTAGACTACACCTGGCTTAGCGTCGTCTGCTCAGATTTTGAATCGACTGCGTCATCGCATGAGCAATCAGTGCAAGGCCGACATCAAGACTTGCGAGGACCGCGTCTCGGGTGAAATCACGGAGCTTGTGCGTGACCCGGCCAAGGATTGCACGTTCCCGCCTTGCCCGCCCAACTCGGACCCAGTCCGCAATGGCGAGGCTTCCAGCAGTCCTGCTATGAGCAGCGGCGCACCTGCGACCCCAATGCCAACCCGGCAAGGAGCGCCACAAGATCCATTGGGTGCGCAGACAACAGCACCTCCTGCGCAAGCAATGACACCGCCGCCTGCTCAGCAAGCCACGCCTCAGCCTATCATCTCCGAGCCGTCGACTCCGTCCCCAGTCGAGCAACAAGCTACCCAGGCGCCGACGCAAGCCCCAACGCAAGCACCTACCCAAGCACCTACCCAAGCCCCGACGCAAGCCCCGACGCAAGCTTCCACCCAGGCGCCGACACAGCCTTCGACCCAAGCACCGACGCAGACCTCGACGCACACTCTTACCCAGGCCCCGACTCAAGCACTTCCGCAGACTTCGACGCAAGCACCTACCCAAGTATCTACCCAAGCCCCGACGCAAGCGCCTACGCAGCAACCGACGCCACTTGTACCATTACCGCAAGTCGTTGGCACGCATGCACCTCTGACGGCTGCACCTGGTGTCTGGGTGAATATTGACAAGAAGCACCCAGCGGCTTTGGACGCTGCCGTGTCGGCAGCGTTCGGAAGCTACAACGCCTCTAGCGTTTGTGATGCGCTCGCGATTCAAGTCGCCTCGTACGAGCAGATGCAAACGTCGTACAGCGTCGTGGCTTCGGTTGCATGCGATTTGGCATCCGAGAGCCAAGCCGCGGGCAAGTACGTGCTGCATTTCGAGGAGGCGCCGCCGGGCGTCTTTACGCTCTCCATGTGCGGCCACGAAGCCGACAACCTCCTTTTCAACTGGATTGGCGTCGTGAACGGCAACACCGTGTGCCAGACGCCGACGGAGAAGAACGCGTTCGCGGCCCAAGCCGTCGAGCACGTCGCCCACAATGCGTCAACGTCGGCACTCTCGGACCCGGTGCAGTACCTCCAGTCGCTCGATACGCCGGCGCGCGCGGTGGTCGGCAGTGTCGCGGCGCTCGTCGTCGTCGTCCTCGTCTTGGTTCTTGTCAAGGTCGTGCGCTCGCGCCGGACGCGGTACGAAGCGGCGTCCGTCGAGTCCAACACTCCGGTGCGCCGTCGCCGCGCGTCGACCACCGAAG